TAATTTTTCATTTATGTTATTCTATCATTCCCTAACATTGCTTGTAATGTTTCAACAGGAAGAATTTTCTACGAGACTTTCACATGTTAGATCTGAACATGAGTCAGCTCCTACACCGGATGATGGCAGTAATGCAGAAGACGACATCCGTAGGACACAGTGCTGGGTCGACATCGTTGGTGGAAAGAAAAAGGGACGAGTGTACGGTGCAGGACAACTTGCTGCAAACTATACAACATCGAGAGGAGGTACTCTGAAGCACCAACCTTCTTCTTCCACCACTACTTCTGACGAGGTCGTTCTCCGCCTCACGCAGGCACTTGAGCAACGTGACCAAGAAATCACTGATTTGAGAGCAGAGTTTACAAACTTTAAGGCCTTGGTCATGAGAGTGTTGCCTGAAACTTCACAGGATGAATTGAATATCCCTCCGACCCAACCACGACCCTCCTCCTCACCCGTTGTCCCTCAGCAGCCCACATCAGTCCAACCCTCATCAGTCCAACCCACACCAGTCCAGCCATCAATAGAGGAGCAGGATGATGAAGATCATTCTGACGATAACTATGTACATTATTAGTTTCATTTTGTTATTAGTTGTTATAGAAAAACATTTGAATATTAGAACATTTGGAGTTTATTACATTTGGATGTTAGATCAAATGGATGATTTGGATGTTAGTACATCATTATGTTACATTTTTTTATGTTTTAACTATAAATACATGTTCTATGAATTAATGGATGTTCTATGTTTTTTGATCATTAATTGCATCTTTGAGATGCACATTATGCAGGTATGTATGTGCTTACAAACTGTTATGCAGGTCTTTTTGTGCTTGAAAACTATTATACAGGGTTGTTTATGTTGTTGGTTTCATAAGAAATATAATTGTCCTTTATATTTCCGTCCAACTTACCGAAGGCTTTTGTCCTTCGGTAACTACCCACATTAGGTCATTACCGAAGGCTTTTGCCCTTCGATAATAACCGAAGGCTTTTGCCCTTCAGAAATTACCGAAGGCTTTCGGCCTTCGGAAATTACCGAAGGCTTTTTGCCTTCGGAAATTACCGAAGGCTTTTGGCCCTCGATAATTACCGAAGGGCGGAAGCTCTCGGTAAAGGTTAGCGACAAGGGATTTACCGATGACTCTTTGGCCGTCGATAAGTCGTCTGTAAATACCGTTTTCCGACGGCTTCTGGTTGTTTCCGAGGACTTCTGACTTTCGGTAATGCTTTTCTTTTTTGTAGTGTTAATTATTTTATTACCACGATATTTTTAATTAAGGTAAATAGTTTATTTATTACATTAAGTATTAATATATATTGATTTTAATATAATAAAAAAATTACAATATTAATAAAAGTTTTAATTTAATTTAACTTTTAAAATATATCAATGATTAAAATAATTAAATATGTGATTGTTCATAATTGTTATATGCGTATTAAAAAGAAACTTAATATTAATATATAATTAACGTTAATTAACATTAAATGAATATTTTTGTTTTGTAAATTGAAATTTAATAATTATTTTAAAATTAATTATATATTAATTTTAATTTTAAAAGATACATATGAAAATTAATAAAATATAATAAAAAATTTATTACATATTTAATTATCTAAATTATTAATGAAATTAAAAAAATAAAATAATATAAAATTTATAATAAGACTGTAATCTTTTTATTATAAATTTATAATAAAAAATTTTCTCTCATCATGATTGACCCTCAAGCAACCAGTCATGCTCGACCCTCAAGCAACAGGGTTATTATTATATTCTACCTAACGTTGTTATATATAGTAAGCAATTATAAAGAATTACATAAATCAGGTTAAAAGTCAATCTAAACAAGTATGACATGTGACACTTTATTTTACATTAATTCCGTTAGTTTAAAATATAGATATGGTTTATAATACAATAGATGTCTCTGCATTAGACCGTCTATGACAGGTGATCAGACTCAGTAAAAACTAAATAATATGAAACAAACTCGTTTGTTGAAACTAATGTTAACATTTTTTAATGTTTCCTTCAACGTCAAGGTTTCGCCAGTTAAACCTTACGTTTATCTGATATGATGAAAACTAGAATTTGGCGTAGACAGAATACAAATTATCGGATTTGAAGTTGAACTTCGTTTATTCTTTGATTAGAGATGTAAGAACATTAATGTAAACACATTATAAATTGAGATCCTTAATAACTGTTTCTGCACTAAGTTACTGATTTTAAATCATATTTCCAAAGATATAAAAGAAGAGAGCATAATAATGAACAGAGAGAGAGAATGGAACCTGAATGGTAAGGGTATGTTGGGGAATAGGTAGGGTTTCCTCAATTGTGGTGGCAAGGTGAGCATGAAAAACATATCTGCCCATTCTAATTTCTGCTCCTCAGAAACAACAAAGGCCTGACCATATCCCTCCACACCTTCTCCTTCTCTCTGTGCAAACATTTTTTTCTCTTCCATTGGAAGATTAAAGAATTCAAGAGCACCTCTCTTCACTTTCTCCACCAACGAACTGCTCACTCCGTGATTAATCAACTGCACGTTAATAGTAATTCATCACTTCATAATCAACATGTTAATAAAAAGTGTACGTTTATTTGTGGAACAATCAGGACATGTAGTAATCGATTCTACTGTATGAATACGAGCTAGGACTATGCACAGATAATTAATCAAAACTCTTTAATCTGGATAATTCATTGCACCAATTTGACCTGAAAGAAACCCCACTCTTTGGCGGCACAGTGCAGGTTTTTCAGCTCAGGTTCCTTGAGATCTTGCGAGAACAATTTGCTTAGGTCAATGACGGGAACTTGTGGTAAAGGTGTGGTGGTAGATAATGTTGGACGTTCATGAAGTGGACGAACATAACGCTCTGGAACACTCGTCAACGCCTCCTTTGCAATTTCTTGGACAAAGGGCACTGTAAGAGAAGTTGAATCCATCAGCAGAGCACACAGTTCAAGATGGATGTTTGGGTTGTTTTCTTAGGTTGCTTGACACAGGAAGGAAGGCCTTTAGAACACCATTTGAAATCAGAATTGCTCAAGTTTACAAAATATATATCTTAATTTTTTTTTTATGAAATCAGTTTTGTTTACTTTTCATTAACAAATAAAAGTAATTTAATTAAGTTAAAAAAAGAAAAGTGAAATAGAATGAAATAATATCTCCTTTATAATAACTTATGCCTCCTTGTCTAAGTTTGTGTGACGGCAACCCTAGGAATTTTAAACTAAATTTTAAGCAGGCCAAATACTAGTCTGTTCTGAAATTTCGAAAATAATCTAAACAAGGGTGCCGACAAGTTTCTTTGTATGTATCTTGTTGTTCATATGCGTATCCTTAATATGCTGCGAGCCATGGATGTGTCTTAAGGAAACTTCAATTGAATAACTTGTTGTGAAAACGAAAATATGTTTGACAAATATATTTCATTGTTTAAATTATATTTTCCGCACTTTTAATTAACTTTATATCAACTACTCCTTATATATAATATTTGAACATTGTTGAATAACTATTATTTTAAGGATTAAATAGTTTTAAATTTATCAACTATAAAACGATTTAGAATTTTTTTTATCTGAAACTTTTTTAATTTCTATATTTTTATCCAAATAAAACTTATGTTACACATCGTTGTCATAACATTTATTATAACAAACATAAAACCATGAAGGATCATACAAACTCCATGATAAAATTACATATTACACATAAACAAGAAAAACCTATTATAAAGAAAGAGCTAAGTAAATACATGAATGGAAATTCTTGAGCATATTAAGAGATTTATCACTGGGTAACCTTTTCACTTTTCAAAAAAGGCCTTTTAGAACTTTTTAAAAATTCTTACTTTGGAAAATTTAGTATTAACTTTCTTTGACCTACCTCTACTAGATTTGTTTAAGTTTGAACTAGCTCATCATCCTTTTTAGTATTAGAATATTCCCTCTCATCAAGCAAAGTAGTCAATTTAGAAACTAATTTCAATTCCTTTGCCAAATGGTCTTTCTTACATGTTAAAACATTATGAATTTCCTCAGGACTATTAGGAGGTGAATTTAGATGTTGTAATGCTTACAAACTATTTATGATAATGACATTCTCCAAAGAAGGCATACCAACCAAGGAAGCAGCCTCCACTAGTGTAACACTCCGAATTGGGTATTACGATTTATGTTCCACAAAACATTCATCTAATTTTTTTTAAAGATAAATTTCAACTCCAACAAAATACTAGATTCTTTATTACAACACAAGTCCTTTGAAAATAAAATTTCACACAAATTCAGAAATTCAAACATAGAATTCTTTAGAAAATTTACTAAGGCTCTTTTTCCCGCATGTCTCTCATCTTCTATGCAAGTCCAGAACCATATGCTAATTCATTTATAATATTGTCTGCTCCCGTATAACACCACAAATTATGCTATCATCACAGTCACATGCACAAAAAAGCAAGGATGGGCTAATCAAAACACAGTAAAGCATACATCATAATCATACTCAGTCACATAACTCGATCAAACAACATCATTTATGAATTTCAATCTCGTACCAGTTATATCATTCTTTCGTAACCTACCGTCATACAAATTCTACTTACCAAAACAATTTTGTTCAAGTCATTATTCTTGCTTAGCAAAGTAGTCCTGCTTACCAAAGCAAAGTTCAAATTGAGTCATTATCCCTACTTATCAAAGCAGTCTTGCTTACCAAAGTAGTGTCTTGCTTACCAAAGCAGTGTTCTGCTTGCCAAAGCAGTGTCCGGTTAGACTCATCCCTACTTATCAAAGTAGTCCTACTTACCAGAGTAGTGTCTAGCTCCGACCCGACTTACCAAAGCCACAGGAGAAGAAAGTAAATGAAACTTGGATTTATAGTTATGGTAAGAATACATATCATACACATCCAAACTTACATAAACTGATTTACAGTTCATGAATTAACTCAACTAATGATTTCAAACTCAGTCATGATCAACTATAATTTAATCTCTAGTATAGACTAGGTCATATAACTAATCTTCCAATCCATAACTAACCAGGTACAACTACACATACAAATCAATAATATAATTACTCAAGATTTCACCAAATACTAATCAATTTGAATAGTTCATGGAAAGATTCACTAGTACAAAAATCAGGTACAACGTCGAATATTTTGGGCTTTTAACGGCGAATTCGCGAACGATGTTATATTAGGAAACATTAAATTGACGTTGAATTAAAAAAATTTGAGGTTAAACTAACGTCGAATTTTGTCAATATATGACGTTAAACTAACGTCAAATTTTGTCAATATATGACGTTAATAAACTTTTTTTGTTTTTTTTAATTAATTGTGATCCTTTTTTATAACTCTACGAGACCTAAAAAGTAGAAAAACAACAAATTTTTTTGGTATTTTATAAAGTAAGAACTATGAACGTAGTATCAACAACAAGCAACAATAAACAACAACAAACAATTTCAATCAAACAACAACAACAAACAAGTTCAATAATAAGTTCTTCAAAACGAAAACAAAAACTATCCTTCAAAAGGTGGGTTACTAGTGAAGCAAAATGTGCCTATGAAGGACAAGAGCCTTCTTATCTTCAGCCCACACAAGCTTGTCAATCTTATATATTTGTTACAGATTGACTAGGTCCTCGACCATCTTGGTCTTCTCTTTAACCATTTCTTTGAGTAGAAAATTAGTTACCCTATGATTGAGTACTAGTGGTAGACTTTAGAATTCCAAAAGAGCACATACAAGAGTGGCCAGCTCAATCGCCTTTAATTCATCTTCCCTCAAACTGATTGTCACGTCCTTGCGCATATTAAAGAAAAGGCTCTCTAAACCACCCAACTCAAAAGCCTTACCCCATAACTCAAAGTTCCACCTTGTACAAAGAACTTGACCCTCACTTTTTTTTCTATCCTACTAGTTTCCCACAACTTTGGAGGCGTAGTCCTCTTTGTTTCGCTCTAAGGTTGATGTTTCTCCACCACTAGTCTCCTTAGGTTGGGAACTTATGTATCCCTGGCCTTTTTTGCTTCCTCAACCATTTGATTGCTTAGTTTGTGGAACATATCCTCATATGTCCCCATCTTGGAAATGTGTTGGGCAATGTAATCTATAAACGCCCAAAAAAATTGTAGATTTGCTTAAAAATATTCAAGTTGCATGCTATTTTACATTTATCGTATAGTTTAGTAATTGGTTGAAAGGACAAATAAACCTGAATCATTTTATTCGTAGGTATTTTGCGAGGAAGCTTCCCTAGGATTCCAATAATCCTCTTTGGACAAAATTTCCTTCGGCCACTACTTATACTTCAAATGGTTGTTTGCCCAATAAAATGGAAAATTCGGCTTGCCATTTACATCACAAAAGTATAATCGCCCAACCGAGTTTACTACCACCCTAAAGAAGTCATTCTTAAACTTCTTACATGAGTTGGAGTATGCATCAAGAACATAAATGCCCAACCTACTCACTAAAGACAACTAAGTAATCAAATCTCTTGCTCGAGTAAGATAAAAATGAAGGAAGCATTCACGTGATGACAATAAGAAAAGGGTCTGGCATACTAATCTAAACACTTTAAGAATACATCATCTGTTTGGATGGAATTGTGTTGGCGCAATAGTTAAAAGACAGAGGACACCTATTGTTAACTCGTTAAATGGTAGTTAGACGTGGAGTTATAGGAATAAACACATATACACATAGAAAAACTCCTTCACATACCCCTCTCGGTCATGGAAAACGTTATCTATAACATTCACCCTCTCAATTATATTATAGCCCATTCTCAGTAGGGTCTTCCTATTATCAATAGTTGTCTCTATCACCACCCCCTTAGCCATTGATGACGACACATCAAAGGTCATTAAGGTTCGACTACTACTATTATCTAACTCCTCCCTGAAATCCATATTTGACCTACTATGCCACATACCTTTTAATAGTTAACAATTACAAGACAAACTTCTCTCACAATGATATCGACAATAGAGTAAATTTCTCAAGAATTTGGTGCCTAATTGAGGAAAATGGACCTCCTATTTATAGCATATATTCGTGACCTTTCACCTTTACACCCTTATCCTCAACCATGGGATCTCCCTAGATCTGAAGGCCAAGGGTGTTAACTCTGCATCTTCTCAGCATCACTTTATTTCCTATACAACACATCAATCTAACACCTCTTCATCTCACTTATCACGTTAGATCTAAAACTTCATCATTACAACCTTTTTGTCGTTATGTCATTAATGCAGAAAGGGCATTTAACGTCTGTTATTTTGGCCTTTTAACGTCAGCTCCAGAACCGACGTCTTTGTGGGTGACGTTAAAAGGTTCGACATCTTTATAGACGTCGGTTACTGCATGATCCGACGTCTAAAGGCATCTATAGATGTCGGACATTGCATTAACCGACGTCTACTACAGCTCGTGTCTTTGGGTAGCGTAGTAGCACCTTCTTCCTTTGCTAGTTTCGTCATAGAAAAGGTTGCGTCTTTTGGATTTCTTATGGCATTTCAACCGAAAACCGAATCTGGGTCCTTGCTTAGTTCCATTAAAATCGCCAATGAAAACGAACGATGACAATAGAACTAGGCAAGGACCGAAGTTCGGTTTTGGGTTGAAACGCTATAAGACATCCAAAAGACGCAAGCTTTTCTTATGAGTAAATTAGTAAAGGTAGAATGTTTTACTATGTTACCTAAAGACACGAGAAAAACTACACCAAAACACAACAAAAACTCATTTTAATCGGTTCAAATGAAAGATAATCAACAAAAGACTAATATAATCGAAATAAAAGTACGTTTAAACGGTTCGAAAAGACAAAAACGCACCTGAAAAATCAATGTCGCGGAGAGAAAAGGCTAGAAGGAAGACGATGAAGTGCTCGTAAATGCAGGTTTGATGTCTGATTTAACAACAAACTAGACGTCGGCTCCCCAAGTGAACCGACGTCTATTGTAGCCTAGATGTCTGGGCCCTCA